TCGTTGATTGTTGTTGTTGTTGTTGTTTAGATGATGATCGTCCACCACTATTACCATTATTACCACCACTAATACCGTTTGAAGTTACAGCTTGTTTTCTCATATTATTATTATTATTATTAGAATTATCATAGTTATTATTATTATTATTAGATAGAGAAGGTGATGTTGAACCTCCCTTCTTTTCTCTGATAACATCTCGGAATGACATTTTTTTTATTACTGTTGATGATGATATTATAATGGATTCTAATTTGATAATCAACTTTTCAACATGTTATCAACAACAATAACAACAACACCTGTTGTTATGAGAAATGAATAATATAGAGGTAATATTAAACATGTTTCAATGATGATAAACAATTTATCATCTTTTTTATTTTGTTATACATTGAAGAGTCGTCTACTACCAATAACAAGAAACATACTCTCTTTTTCAAACGTATTGTTCCCGCTCAACTAGTTTTACTCTTCCTTTTCTTCATTTTCTTCTTTTAAATAATTTAAATGATCAGTCCATTTCAAATCATCTGAACGTGGTAAATAACCAGTTAATTTTGTAACAATAAATTCCATACTTCTCCAAAAGTTAATGGAGTGAAGTGGATAATTCAACCAACCAGTTGTAATACAATAATAAGTATCAAATGGTGATTTGTGATGATAATTATGTGAAGATCTACTTAACAGAATACCACTTGATTGTAAAATCTTTACAATAGTTGGTACTTGGTATTGATGTGACCATTTATGAATTTGATTAGTAAAAGCAATCATTAAAGCTAAGAAAGTATAATATAAAGTAAAGAATAAATCATTTGAATATGAAATTAATGGAATTGCACCTAACATACAAGAAACCAATGCATTATCACCATTAGTTTCAATAAAATCATGTTTACACATTGCACTAGGAGCAATATGATGTTCACGGAATGATCTAATAAATGTTTGACCCACCAATGGTGCATCAAGTGTACCCCAAGTATCAGCAATCCAATGAACAATACCACTAATAAAATCTGCTGTTAACATACCAAGAAAAATACCAATAATTACTTGATATCCTAATTGAATAATATTAACTTCACTAATATAGGCTAATTTAACAGATTGATATAAATTTAAAGGTAATAATATTAAATAATATAATGTAATAAAGAATATTTCCATCATTCTTTTAGATGTACTATAACCTGATTTGAGTATTTCTTCCTTTTCTTGTTTGGCTTTTTTAAAGAATTCATGATTAGGCTTGACTGTTGTAGCTGTAGTATTATCTGCAGGTGCAGCCTTGATTTGATCTGTCATTTACAAAGAGAGAGTAGGTGTGTGTGTGGATGGTAGTGATGGTGATATGTGATAATAATAGGTGATGAATATTATTATTATTATATAATTGAAAATAATTGTGTCCAGGAGGTTGAGGTTAGGTTGTTGTTGTTGTCGGGGAGAATGTGATGGTGTTGTTGGGGTATTTTTTTAGGCTTGAATATTTTGGTTCTACTTGTTCCCGTTGTGCTTAGCGTGCGACTGAATAAGTTGATTCGGTGTGAGCCTTCTAATATTCCTTATTCAATATTCATATATTTACAATATAAGCCTTCTTTAATTGGCATAACATCTTTTTCTGTTGCATACTTGTTGGAGGGAAATGATATTGTGTGATGGTGAATGGACTCCATTGTGTGTGGTTAATAATTTCATCAACTTGATTTTAACTTTCCAATCGTTGGTCGCACCATGCACTAGCATTTGCAAAAATTGTCCACTAAATTGTACAAATAAATCAATTCACATAATAGCTCTATATTTGTAGATAAAAAGACACTACTCCATTCAATTGAAGATGTTATTCATTGAATATTATTGAATTAATAGTAGACTCCACTCGATCAGTTGAAAAAAGATCACAATAAACCTTAATAACAATAAATCAATAATTTTTTAAATCAACACAAATTTATTGTTGAAACTCTGATATTGGTTGATTATAAACAATTTCTGGAGGTGGAACAAGACCAAGAGTTAATTGTTGTTTTGGAACTTGTTGTTGTTGCAAAATTGGTTGTTTTGGTGGTGGTGGCATTCTCATTTGTTGTTGTTGGTAGTATTGTTGTTGTTGTTGTTGGTGAGGATTGAGAGGACGGTTGGAAGGAATGTTAGTACAGTTTGCTTGTTGATTTGTTTGTAAAACTATTGGAACATGTTGTGAATTCATTGGTAATACTTGAGCTGTTTGATAGTGGTGATACATTTTCATCATTTTACCATTACTAGTTGACATGTAAAAACCACCATTAAAATTTGGACAATCTTTCATTAAATAATCATCAATAATCATCTTGTAAGAATCCAATGAACCATTTAACTCTGATTTAAATATTACATAATTTAACATTGGACATCCATCAAAATGTGCTTGATGAATAATATCATTCATACAAGTATTTCCATAATTACTACCACTGCTACCACTAGTGCAACTACCACTACTGCTACTACTACAAGTGGATGATGATCTTGACATTGTTACTGATGGTAATTGTGGACAATTTTGAACTTGAAGTAATTTCAATTTGTATGTTTCTAATTGAATATGATTCTTCAATTGTGAATTATTTCTTAAAAATAATTTAGCAAGTGAATTGGAATGAATATATAAATTTTCTAACATGTTCAAATTCAATAATTGTAAACCCTTAATTGAATTATTATGAATATGTGGTGATACAAGTGCATGACAATTTGATAAAACCAATGCTTGTAATCTTGATGCATTTTCTTCACTTAAATATTCATTCAATACTTGATCTGTTAAATGAGCAGCATTAGAAATACTCAAATATTCAACATTTTTAAAAAATTGAAACAAGTTATTCATTCTATCATTTGGATAAACACAAAGTGAAATTGCAACCTTTGATAAATTACTTGTACCTAAAAGGTTAATATTTTCTAATATTTTACAATCAGTAAGATTCAATGAATTTAAATTTGGACAATTTAAATTTAAATTTCTAATATTTACACATCTAGAAATTTGTAAATTAGAAAAATCATTACCACAATTAATTGAAAGTGTATGTAATATTGGATGTCCTTCAGATGGTAATTTAAATAAAACTAATTCTGTTAATTTTGGTAATTGTGTTAATTCTAATTCTGTTAATTGATTACAAGCATCAATACTAACAGATTCAAGTTTTGAACAATTATTAAATTTGATAAATGTTAATTGATCACACATAAACAATTGAACACTTGTTAAAAGTTTTGAACTCAAATTAAATTGAGTAACACTTTGTAAATCCAAAATATCTAACTTTTCACATCTATCAAGTGCTGTTACAATTTTATCATTTTGGAAAATGTTCAATGAACTTGATCTAATACTAAATGTTTCAATAGTTAATTCAGAATCTTCAATAATTGGCAAATCAAGTTGTGAAATGGATTCAAACTTTAAAAGTGAAATCTTCTTATTACTATTAGAACCAAATATTAAATTAGATAACTTGTTTAACTTGGAAATTGAAATACTTGTAATATTTGAATTATTAATAGATACAGGTTGTGAAATGATAGTATTTTCATTACATTCAAGTTTAATTTGTTCCAAGCATTCCAAACCATTCAATACTTTAGTTAGCATTAAAGAATTAACATCATTCCAATTTGAAATGTGTAAATTCTTTAAATATTTAAACTTTTTAACAAACAAGTTAACATTTTCATAATTATCAACACCTAAAAATCTAACAACAAGTGTTGATAACTTGTCTGCCTTGCTATTAGTAGCAATTTCACATAATTGTTCGTTATTAATAGAGAACTTTGGAGTGTTTAAGCACTTGAGTGTTTTTAAATTTTTACAATTTCTTAATAAAAAGTTAACATGATCAAAAGTAACACTCTTAACATGATCCAAGTTTAAATGTTCTAATCTATCAGCAATACTTGTTAAAATAGGTTCAATATGTTCAATTTCTAATGTGCTAGCATCAATATCAATCAAAGCTTTACAAGTTTTACAAATTTGTAACAAGGCTTCTGACTTGAGTTGACAAGATGTTAATTGATTATTAATTAATGTTGCTCTATTAACAATCTTGATCTTTTTTAAATTAGTATAAATAGAAAGGAATTGTGCAAGTGAGGCTTGATCAATTGAATACAAAATTAATTGTTCAAAAGGAGAAGCAACATTATACATTCCAAATACTTGATAATGGAATAAAACTAAAGCATTCATAGAAACCAATGATGGAATCAATTTGGTAATATCTTCGTTACGCCATAACAAATTTGTTCTACTTGTACGATGGAAATGTTTTGAAACTTTACCAACACTCTTGATCAACTCAATTCTATTAATAAAAGACATTATTTGATATAAAACTTGTGCTGGAATTATTCCCAACTTCCATTTTGTTGTTCTTGTTAAAGAGGCTATCGAAGTAGAAGATTCTATTTTAACCTTCTTACATTGTTGTGTATCTTCTAATAAATTATTGGAGGTGTTGAAAATATCTTCTGTGGCGCTAATTTCATCGTTTGAACGTTTTCTTAATGCTGATGATGATTCATCGTTACTTGTTGTTATCATATGGGCGGTATTGGAGAAGAGAGAAAATGGTGGTTGGTTAAAGTTTGTTGGTTGGGATTGTGGTGGATAGAGAATTGTACTAGTTGGAATTTGGAAAGAAGGGAATGAAAAGAATCGATTATTATTATTATTCATGGTACTATTATTTTGTTGTTGTTGTTGATAGTGAGGAGGATAAGAAAACATTGTATTTATATTAGTGATGTTATTATTGTTATAATTTGAACCATTATTTTGATGAGATGGTGGAGCAAGAATAACACTTGAAGCAATTTGATGGGAAGGAGTTATTGTTGATGAGTAATGTTGTTGTTGAGGAGTAGATGTTGTGGTGAATTGATTGTTCATTTTTTCCAATTGGATTCCCATTGAAAAATCAAGCCTTTCGCTGCCAGGTTTGATAAATCTTTCCTCTGTCGTCAAGTAGCGTTCTATTTTAAATTCCTTTTCATGCGAAGTGTTCCTGCTATTCGTCATCCGTTAGAAGAAGAATTTCAAGGAGCGAGGAGTAGTAGCCTTGTCGTGTGAGGTGTTCATTTGCTGTCAGTAACATTCTAATAGAAGATTTTGCAACAAATGTTACGTAATAAGGAGGACCTCATACAAACTCCTACCATTCGGAGAGCTAATCAAATACAATGCATTGTATCATTAATTGGAAGATGATGTGTCAGTATTAGATTGCATATTACTTTTGGTTGGATCAGTAAAAAAAAGTGATAATGGATTACATTAGAAGAGGAATTAGAATCGAAATACACGTGTCTGTAATATTTTGGTGATTCAGATATCCTCTCTGAATTGATAAGTCAGAGATTGGAAAGTAACTTGGAAACTTAATGTTCCAATACAAGTTCATTATAATATTCTAATACCTCTCTGTGTTGGTGTTCATAGTTTAATTGATCTTCTAAAATGTTATTAGATTGTTATCAGATTCAAGACTCAATTTATTCACATTATTCATATAACAAGTTCAATTAAATTTATTGGAAGTTTGTATTTGATGAAATTTGGCGCCTTAATTATTGTACATTTAATCATCTACAATAACGAAGTTTGGCGCCATTTTTAAAAAATAAAATATAAAAAATGTCTCAAGGTTCTCCACAGGTTTTGTTTGAGGACGCTAAGGCCTATTTGCAAACAACAAATGAAAATGGAAAATCCATTTATGATATGTTAATAGATATTGTTTCATATTTACAGGATCATAAGGATGCTAAGGAAATTAATTTAAAAAAACTTGTTGAACAATTATCCGAAGATGGATTTAAATATGGAGAACGATCAGGATTTGATGAATTATGGAAATTATCTAAACCTAATCCCGAGTCATGCAATAAAGCTAGAGAAATAGTGGAGGTTCTTTCAAAACAACAAAATGTAATGAAGGAAGAATTCTCAAAGAGAAAAAAAGCAATTGAAGAATTGAATGTAAAGAAAGATGGTGATGATGATAATCAAGATGATCCAGTAGAAGAAAATCCAGATATTATGTATTTGTACAGTAACGAAGATGGTGTTTCTAATTTGATTGAGGATTTTTATGCTTTAGAATTAGTAGGAGTAGGTTTGCCACATGAGGAAATTGCGAAACTTTCAGTTGCTATTCAAAATTTGAAATCATCAAAGTCTTTACGGTATTTAAGATTTGTAGGAAAAATACTAGGAATTGAATCGCATTACTATGTTGTTGAAAGTAATTACTACTTTAAAGAAAAAGTTCCACAAGATAAAATTCATGAAAGTGGAGGTAAAGCTGGTTTAAATAGATTTACATATTGGGTATTGAGATCTAAGGATTCATTGACTAATTTTGTAAATTTACCTGATGTAACACCTCAACAAATTAATGCTGCAAGAAATATTTCAAAATTATTTACAGGTAATTTAGAAAAGGAAATTATTTCATATCCTCCATTCCCAGGTAATGAAGCAAATTACTTGAGAGCTCAAATAGCAAGAATTGTGCATTCAACAACTATTGCACCATTTGATCTATTTGAAGAGAGAGAAGTAACAGAAGCCAATGACGAAGATGATGACGATTCAAATGAAAAGAAGAAGAAGAATGAAATTAAATATAAGGAAGTATTACCTCCACCAGTTAAAACCAAAGCATTTGAATTGAAAGATCCAGAAGGAATGAAATCACTTGAACATTGGGTTCATCTCTATCCAGGTATTTTGAAATCAGGATTTATTACTAAGGAACCACTTCCTGGTGATCAAGAACCAGCTGATCCAGAGGATGATAAAGATCCAGAAGTACCAAGTTTCAAATTATTACAGGAAGATGATGGTCTCAAAAAATGTAAAGAGGCAGGAGCTTCACCAAAGAAAAAGTCAGAAGATGATGATAATGATGACGATGGAGAAAATAAGGAAGCAAAACTTTCATGTTGGAAAGTTAGTTTCAGTAATGTGAGAAAACAGACATGTCATCACAAATCATTCAAAGTGGTTATGCTTAGTAGTTTGAGATGGCAAGGTGCTCACACATTTTATAGAAATATTGGACCAATTTGTCATTTTGGTAATGTGTACATTGGATATGGTATTAAGAATACTGGTATTCCTTACACTCCAATTCTTCCTTCAAAGGTTGTTGAAGATGTTAAAGAACCAGTTGACCAAGTGGATCCAAAACCAAATGATGCTAAGAGAATGTTACAAGGTCTTGAACCAACTAGTGAAGATAAACCAGAGGATGATAATCCAAATGACGACGAAGATGGAGGTAATGATAATGATCCTGAAGAAGAGGATGATGAATAAAAATGTTTATTATAATTACATGAGTTTCTTAACTTCATTGTGTAAGATGACTAAAAAATCAGAGTATGACTTATCAACTGGACTTGATGAAATTCCAGAACCAAACTTATCTTCAACCATTCTAATAAAGAATGATCCATCTGTTCCTTCATTACTTTCCTTATAAATATAAATTCCACCATGTTGAACACCTCTGGAAATTAATTCCTTTACAATGAATTGAACCTTACTAGAATAAGGAGCATTAGGAATTGATAAATCATCAACATTTAAATTTTCTAACATTGAGAATACAGGTTTAGAAGTTGAAAGTGTAATTTGATCGATAGAATCAACTCCAAATAATTCTTGAATTCTATCTTGAGGAGCATCTTTACCAATCCAGAATAAACATTCATTTCCATCACTCATTAAATAAATTCCATCAGAAGAAACAATACTTGATGAAGGAGGTAAAATTGGTGGCATTGGATATCTTGAACCATCACTATTATATGATATTGGAATAATTTCATCTTGTTCATTATCTTCTTGATCATGTACTTCATCATTGAAAGTTAAATTTTGAATTTCATATAAACGTGGATAACAATAATTAATAGCTTGAGCACATGAAAATTTCATCAATAAATGGAAAGAATGAATTTTCTTATCAAGTGAAACACGTGTATAACGACAGAAAGCAGGTGATTTTGCTAAACCTAAAAAGTATAAAGGTAAATATTTCAAAGTTTCAGGTAAAACTAAATGACTTGATCCAGAATTTGTTGTACAATTCTTTCTATAACATGCTAATAAATTTGTTAATCTATCACAAATCATATCACGAACAGTATCTAAAGTATCTCTATTTTGAATTACTTGATGAACAAATAAACGTGAATAAAGAGCTAAACAAGCACCAATATCAGATCTTCTATATAAAGTATTAAAATCAGTTGCAGTTTTCAATTTTAAAGTTTGAACACGTAAATATCTTTTACCATCAGATGAATTTGTATAAACAAGTGCACATTGAATATAATGATTACCAGATTCACTTGCACCTAATAAATTACTTTCATCATGTTTAAATTCAACACCAAATGATGTATCAGAATCAATAACTGCCAAATCCATAACTTCATCTTGTTGTTGTAAAAAGTGACCAAAATATCTTCTAATACCAATACCACTACTTGTTCTAATTTTGAAAATTGCATCATAACCTGATTCTCTTTCTAAATGTCTATTTAAATCTAAAATTAAACGTTCTTCATCTCTTTTAACACTAAATTGATGATATAAATAAACATGTCCACCTGTTGTTTGTGCTGCTGATGATAAATTAGCTGTTTCTATATATGTTTTTGGGAATAGGAAAATATCAATACCAATAGCCTTCTTAGCACATGAAATTCCTAAATTCTTCCAAAATCCTAATTCTGGAATGAAAATTTCCTTCTCTCTATCTGTACCATATAATTTATATGGATTTCTTCTTTCTTGATCAGATTCAGAGGCATTTGGTCCAAGAGTAAAATTACCTTGTCCCAAAGTTGGAATTTTTGAAGTGAAAAGTAAAACTCTACCACCACTTTCACTCAATAATTCTTCTGCACATTTCATTGCACTACCTGCAACATTATCATTGGAACGTTCACCAAGTTTTGATGCTGTTTCATAGAAACGATTAAAAAATTCATCAACTTGTTCATGATTAACATGTTCACTACTTGTTGATGATCCATAAATAATATCACCAAATGTAATGGAAGCTTCTTGATGAATTGGTACAAATGAATTTTGTAAATCTGCAACAATCATCACTTGAGGATGAACATGTTTGATTTCACTTGTGTTATTATTATTATTATTACCATTGTTACCAATATTATTATTGTTATTACTATTAATTGTATTATTATTAGATTTTCTAAAATTATAAAATTGAATATTCTTTGCAAAAGTAATAAAAACAACGTTGGAATTTCTAAATTTTGGACCAAAAGTTTTGAAACAAGTTTTTAAACCTTCAATAACAGATCTTAAAAGACCAGATTCAATAGCATCATGACCAACATCAATAACATAAACAAATGTTTGTGGTTTTGGTTCTCTTGCCTTACTATTATATTGTTGAGTTGCAATAAAATCAACATCACCAACACTTAATTCTGGTCTTTGTAAAATATCAGTTCTAACACCATAAACATCTGTTGGACAATAATACCAATCAGGTGTATTATTTGAAAATCCACAAAAATTACATTGATACTTCTTTCCATTATCAACAAATTTCATAAATGGATTCATATAAGCTCTACATCTTGAACATCTTAAAATTTCATAATTAGTAAAATCAACAATTGGAGTATGATTTGGTTGATCTTGTGGATTTAAATTTGCCATTGGTTGAACAATTGCACCCATCATTAATTGTGATGCATCAAGTAATTTCTTTGTATTTGGAACACAATAAAGAGTTGGTCTAATACGATGTGGTGTACATGATCCTCTACAAATAATTTTCATTCTTCTATCTGCTGGTGGAGGTGGTACATTAAAATAAGGTGTAATATTTGATGTATTGGGTCCTTGTTGAATAGCATTAGTATTGAATGGTAAATTTGGACTAGATGATCCAAATAATCCACTTAAAACACCTCCTCCATTGTTATTAGTGTTATTGTTATTGTTATTCATTTGTTGTGATTGACCTCCCAATGCAAAATTATTCAATGTTGATGAAGATCCTAAACTTGTAACTGGACTATTCATTGAATTTGTTAACATGTAATGTTCTAAAAAGCTTGCTGTTTCATATTCATGCATTGTAGTATGTTCTTTCAATGGTAATATAGCTGGTGTTGGCATGGAAGAGGCTTTTTGTACCTTTTTAGGAACACCTAAATTATTAGGAGTATTTTGAGTAGTAGGTGTAGTAGTACTTTGATCTGGTATCATTGAGTTTGTAGTAGAAAAACCAGAATTGGATGATACTTGTTGTTGTTGCATAAAACCTTGTTGTTGTTGTACCAATGGAGTTGAGAAGGAAGAAACATGTGGATGTGCAGAAGTAGCAGATGTTTGTCCAGTAGAATCTCTTGGATCAAAACTTAAACTTGTTGGTGGAGGTGGTAAGGCTGCTGTTGTTGTATTAGTAGTACCCATCATACTTGTTGGAGTTGAAGGATTATTCATCATTGGATTAAAGAATTGTTGTTGCTGTTGATGAGGAATATTCATTGTAGGAGGTGGAGTTGTAGTTGTATTACTACCCATCATCATTGGATTATAAAAACCTTGTGTTGATTGTTGTTGTTGTTGTTGATTCATCATTGGATTGTAAAAGCCTTGTTGTTGTTGTTGAGGATTGAAAAAACCACCAACAGTAGGACTTTCAGTAGCTTGTTGTTGTTGTGGATTATAAAAGCCTTGTTGTTGTTGACCAAATCCACCATTGTTATCACCACCACCCATTGTTGATGATGATGGTTGTTGTGGTGGTTGTTGTTGTTGATTCAACGCAGTGTTCGGCATAAAAAATTGTTGAGACATTTTTTGCTGATAAAAACTCTTCCTATCATCTGAATGACGTCATAATATTATTATGTAATGTTGTTCATATTATCTAAAAGTGTTAATTTGACGATAGAGAAGGGTAGCAGTCCAATTTGCCGAGTCGACTTGAAATTACAGACTGCTAAAAATAAATAATTCTTCATCTGACTTTTGAGAAAAATCAGAAAAACTCGATTACTAAATTGAATTAATTGGATTCGGATTCATTATGTGATATTAGTGTTAGTCATTGGTGTTATTGTTTTACCTTGAAGTCTGACAATTCCGCACGTGTTTTTCATTTACCAAATCTGAATTTAAAAATAAACCAAATTCAATTTATTTATGTTGTAAACCCGGAAAACGTGTAGATCGACTCGGTATTTTTTACTTCTACCTAGAGAAGTGGAAGAAGGAAACAAAAAATTAGCAAATATGATAATATTATCATTGTAAAGTTATTTAGATCTTTGAGTTCATTCACTTGGTAGTGATGAAAAAGCAAATTAATCTAAAAATAAATATAAAAAAATGTCTGAAAGTAAAGAAGGCTGTTTTGAAAAAGTTGCAAATTCATATGAAAGTGATGATGATGAAAAATTATCAATTGATGATTTATATGCATTGGCTATTGAATTAAAATATGAAGGAAAACATAAAATGGCAAAACAATCATGTATTGAAGGAATTGAAAAATTAAAATCATCATCATCTTTTACTAAAGAAGAAAGATCACTTTTAATTTCATTTTATAATTTAATTTCACAAATATGTATGGATTTAAAGGAATATGAAAATTCAATTGATTATTGTAAATTATTAATTGAATTGGATTCAAATTATTTTGAGGCTAGATATAGAATGGCATATTTGTTAAATTATTTGAAATTAAATGATTTATCTATTAATTTAATTAATGAATCATTGAATTTAATTGATAATAATCATCCTTTAAAGGAAAAATTTAAATCACTTTTGGAAAGTATTGAAAAATCAAAAGAACATCATCACCATCATCACCACCACCATCATCATGATGATTGTGATGATTGTAAAGTTAAATCAAAAGATGATAAGATTTTTGTACATTTAATTAGAAAATTTGGAGAATTTTCAAACATTGACCCATTTATTAGTATGATTGAAGGGAAAAAGAATCACTATATCATGACAAATCAAGTACAAAGTAGTGAAAAGGCAATGAAGCATTCTAATAATGATATTGTCATGCAGTGTATGAATTTTCATAAGAATATTGTGAAAAATGATACTTCTAGTGAATCTTTCCATTTATTAATTCTAGTTAATTCCTCATTCTCTGTTGAAGAATTTAAGAATGATGAATTATTCATATTGGTTCATAGTTGTGCAGTCATCGAAACAAATAGATTTTTTGAAGATATTAGGAATAGCTCTGAAATGGTTGAAATGATAGAATCGAGTAATATTTTCATTCTAGACAATCATTCTACAGAGGTTAAAGAAGCTATTGAATGTTTGAGTTGTAATTCAAGTGTAATTTCAATGGATCAACTGAAACCAAATACTATTATCCACTCAATTTTAGGATTTGACTTTGAAACTTATTTGAATGATATGGGCTGGATGAAATTGATTTCCAACCAACAAGTCAAGTCAACAGATACAGTAGTACCATTCGTTTTCACATCAAGAAAACCACTCAATGTTGACAAGTTAAGATTGCTTTTTTCTTCTGATAATTCTCAGATAGATAACTTGAAAAGTATTGTATTGAGATCTAAGGGATTTGTATGGAATTGTAATGATAATAATTATCTTTATGATTGGTCATTTTCTAGTAATGAATTGAAGATTGAAAAGAAGATGCTCTTTTTAGCAGCCTATGATAAACTGAATAGATTACATCCTCTAAGAGTTGAAGAATTGAAAAAGATTAACAAGTGGATTGAACCTATGGGAGATAGAAGGAATGAAATAGCATTTATTTGTAGAAAGACAAATTCAATTCCAGATCCAGAAAAATTCATCCATTCATTCTTAAGTGGATTCCAACTTGATCAATAATAATAATTATTATTTCTTATTGGCATTCAATCTTTCAATAGCTTTTTCTCTAATCTTTTGTACAGGAAGAGGGAAATCTTCTTCAATTTGTTTGAGAGATTCTTTTGTTAACACGTACAAATCGCAATATGTACCAGCTCTTACTGAAGCCATTCTAGTTTGGTCCATAATCACACTGATTTCACCAAAGAATTTACCAGCATCCAATGTTGCTAATACTTTTGGTTCAGGATCTTCAGTAACAACTTGAACATAACCTTTCAAAATAAAGTACATTTCTCTTCCAATTTCACCCTTCTTCACAATCTTAGTTCCTGGCAAAACGACTTGAGGTCTGAGAGCCATGACCATTGATGTAATAAATGTTTTGTTAGCACCTTCGACTTTAAACAAATCGACTTTCTCAATAAGTTCAGCATTCATTGAAAGATAAATTTCAGATTGTAAATACCAAGGAAGATCTTCTAATACAAGAGTTTCATCCCAACCAGATCTAGCTTTCCAAACGAAATGATAATATCTTTCAATTTTTCCTCTAATAGTTTCTGGAATCTTTCTATAGGTCATGTACTGCTTGAGAGAGTCAAGCTTTTGCTTTCTCTTTGATTTTTCTTGATTGCTTGATTCTAAAATGTTACCCACGGCACCGACGACTAAAATCACTAGAGCTACACCTACAATATTACAAGCTTGAGAAAAGACACATTGACTAATTGTAACAGGAGATGAACCCCCATAACCTGTCATGGAAGTAAGGACCCACATAAATCCTCTGATATATCTCGACATGGCACCAGGAATTGATTTATCTTGGATAATGGTCGATTTCTGTGTCCATACCTGAACTGTTTGAACTGGATCGGTCATTACAATAATATACCAACCACAAGCTAAGCAGTGAGTTGCAATGAAGAAGTAAAACACGTATCTCAGAATTTGAATAGCAGTAATTGGAATAATTTCAACTTCAGACTCAAACTGACTAAAGTACTGATTGATTCTGACAGCCCTAACACATCTAATCATTCTAATCCACATTCCCAATTTCAAATCAATTATCAATAAAACATAATCCAATGGTATCATGGATATTAAATCTGTGTAGAAGAAAAATGTTTTAACATATTTCTTTGAAATCATTTTGTAATCATAAATATATATACCATCTGTTCCAGAAATTCTTTTAAAGAAACAGAGAATAAAGTCAAATAATAAAATAAGGTCAGCTGTCACATCAAATATTACCCAAATGCCTGACCATAATGGTTGATTCATGTATGTATACAAAGTAACTCTTAATGTTACTGTAAAGAAATTATAAAAAGTGGCCAAGAAACAAAGGAATACCCAAAGTGTTGCTAATTTATACCTCTCGGGTATTGTTAGTGGTTCTACTACTTGTGTTTTCCAATATCTAAATTGTTGTTTAAATTACTATTTGAAATTAAACCAACCTTTGAAATGTTTCCTTCCTTGATTCATGTTCTTCAACTTTAATTACTAATTGTTTATCCTTTCCGACTTCTTCCTATTATTATTGGTTTTTCATTAAGATGGATCTAAATAGTGTGATCTTACCTCCTTCATCCACTTGGGTGGTTTTATTTCCTTCACCTTCTTCTTTGGTTTTTCAGGCTCTTTTGGTGGTTGTGTTGCAGCAGGAGGTGGTTGTGAACTCATTTTTCTTTATAAATTACTTTGTTGTTCAACTACAATGTTATCAATTTTGGCGGGAAGAATTTAAAAAAATGTCTCGACCAATTATTACCACTTCTTCTTTTCCTCAGACAACAACAACAATACAGAGTCATAATATCAATGGAGGACGCATTGTCTCAATGACATCGGTGTTTGAAACACCTCTCACCAATAGAATGAAAAGAGATATTGAAGAGATATTTGAATTGTATGATACCGATCGGAAGGGTTACCTAACTAAAATTGAATATAAATTAGCTTACATATCACTCATGGGACATAAACCATCAAAGTTTGAAAGGAAGGAATTGTTTTCATCAAGTAGACCTGTAGTAAGGAGACAATTCTTCATGGAATTGATGAATAAGAAATTAATGAGATCTGATCAGCAAGATAGAATCAGAGAAATATTCAATACAATTGACAGTGAAAGGAAAGGCTTTATTACTCTTAAGGATTTAACTAGGAGTGTATCTGCAATTTTAAATTATGAAAAACAATTTGGAAAAGGAACAAATAGTTTATCAAGTTTAGGATTGGAATCTCTATTGACTGAATTTGATGTTGATAGAGCAAATAGAATCAGTTATACTACATTTTGTTCATTAATTTTGAAAAATAATTTAACAGTGTAGTTTTCTTATCAAGTTGATCCTTTCATGGATTTTAGAGCTTGAAAATTGGTTCAGATCCAATACTCAATTGACTTGCTGTTTGCTTACCATCCTTTCAGAATATCATGCAACTTCATTGAGAATCACTATCCAGAATTGACTGAGTTATTGAGTAATAATCCTAGAGTCAAGTTTAAAAATAGATATTTCTATAATTGGAATAACAATTTTAAAATTGAAAATAAAATTAAAACAATATTTTTAACATCAAGACAAGAAGCAAATTGGCGCAGTGGAAGCGCGATGGGCTCATAACCCATAGGTCCTAGGATCGAAACCTAGATTTGCTAAACCTTTTGGTTTTTTAAGTTTTTTTATGATTTGAATATATTTTGAGATAATAGGAAGTGATAATGAGTTCATATCAACTGGTTTCAATTTACTAAATCAACTATTTTCTTGGAACAATAATCAATTCATCAAATCCAGTTTCAGGATCAACTTGTCTTTCAAAATATACATCAGTCAACTCATTCAATACAATCTCAGCAGTTGTATAAACATTTGCTGTAATCAAATGACCTCCAAAAGTCTGTCCAGTTTTTCCATCAGAAATTGAAATGTGAATATGAGGAATAATATCTGAATAATCCTTGGTTGTTTCATTGTAATTTGCACTGATCGTTCCAACGAGAGAAACAATTTCATACGTTCCAGAATCAAATGTCGTATAGTGATGATTATTTGCTAGCCTGAGAACAGCTTTTGTGACTGATCCGACAACTGCTTGAATACTCACTGCTCTCAATTTATTAATCCTTGCAAAATCAATGAGTGTACTCATTATTTCTTGTGTTGGTTTTAATCTCATTGGATAGCCAATCATTCTTGATGGAAAAGCTTGTGGAATTACATTCTTATTATTGGATGAAGCAGAGGAAGATTCACTTGATCCGATTATCATCATCATGACCAACAATAGCACAACAACAACATACTTTGAATGGTTCATTTTTATAAAATTTAAATTTTATCCAAACAAGTTCTGCTTTCATTAAATGTAAAGTCAACCAATGATATTAATACAATTACAAATATTTCATCTCGTATTTTTGTTGCATCTTCTCCAAATAATTTCAATTTCAAAGAATCAACCTCTTTGGTATTTGTGTTGAGTTTGTTATAAGAAGAGGTTAGTAATGATGCATTCGAGTTCACTTTCAAATTCCAAGAAGCAAATCCATCTCGAATTGATTATTAAGAAAATGATATAAAATTGAATTAACTTACTTTCATCCTCTCTGGAATCAAATGAAAAGTTATTTGATCCAATGTTAAATTTACCATCACGTGTATAAAATCTTGGATAGGCATCCTCGTCTTCTTGAACATCCCAAGTAGAATATTCAACTTTTTGATAAACATGTTTGGAAATTAATTCACAAACTTCCTCTCCACATTCGAATAAAAAGTATTCATTCAATAAACGTTTCCATAATGATCTAATACCATCAGTTTTGGTAATTGCACTAGTTTTCAGTTCAACTACTCTTTTTGAGTTCTTAATATTACCTTCTACCTTTTTGGTCAACCATTTCTCAAATTTATATTCTTCAACCTCATTATCTTTTAGTTTATCAGCATCATAACTTGTACCAAGATCAAATGCCTTTGTAATTTGAGTGATCAAATCACCTTTCTTTTTTTTTACTTTGTTATTGGAGGAGTATTCATCAAATTTTCTCTTATTTACTTTTAACTCTTTTTCATTTGGTTTTTGAAAGGCTTGTTGTTTCTTGAGAGCTTTCATTCTTGTACAATTAATATTTCCTAATTTTCTAATATCGGAAGATACTCTCAAGGAAATGACCAATGGATTTGATTCAAGTAATTCTTCCCTAATCACTTTACAACATGATGAAAAATTAATGACATCCCTATTTGATGAAGACATAAAAAACACAATCTGATCCAAGACTTCGCTAGGAATATTTTCAAATTGATTCATTTTTTCTAAGATTTAAAAAACAATGCAGCATTACAACGTACTTACAACGTGAACTTTGAGAAACTTCTAGTATTTGGTGGATAATTTAGTTTTTAAAAGATTTTACAAGTTCATCCTTGTTCATCCTTGCTTAAATGTGTATTTTACACGTCCGACGATGCAAGATGTCAATTCTCCAACTTTAAAAAAAAACATCAACAACACAATAGCAATTCTAATGTCAAAACAACAACAACAACAACAACAACATGACAATACTTTAACTACTGCCACTAATCATCAAATTCAACAAAATGTTAATAATTTACCAATGGAAATATTGAGTGAAATTCAAAGTTATATTCATGATGAATGGTTAAATTTTAGACTTGTTTGTAAATATTGGTCAATTATATTTTGTGAATATTTAAATATTAAATTAAATATTAAAGATTGTAATAATATTATAGATTTATGTAATAGTAATATTTTATTACAAACTAATGAACTTTGTATTAATAATGTTCCAAAAAAAGTAATAGAAGCTATTTATTCTAATAATCAATTATTTAAAAATATTAAAAAATTAACTTTTTATGGAAATATTAATTTAAATAGTATTGAAAAATTATTTTTAAAATCAAATTCATTTATTTATAATTTAAATAGTTTATATATACAATCAAATGATATTACTAAATTAATGAAAATTTATAAAAAAGGAATACAAATAGCAAATAAAAATAAAAATAAAAAAAGTATTGGATTATTTAATTATTTAATTTATTTAAATAATAATATAAATTATGAATATTTAAATAAATCATTAGAAGTAAATAATATTGAAGCAATTGAATATATGATAAAAAATTCTGAAAATAACTTTGAATGGTTATTAAAAGGTTCTAAATTAGGAAATTTAAAAATACAACTTGATTTGGCGTTTTATTATTATAATACTAGTCAACATTTACTTGCTTTGGAATTATTTGAAAAAATATTTTATAATTTAAAATATGTTGAAAAAAATAATAATGAAATTAATTTTGATTTTTCATTCTATTTAGGTGAATATTACTATTATGGAAATTATGGAATTGAAAAAGATTATAAAAAATCAAATTACTATTTTTTACATGGTGATATTAATGATCCAATAACTCAAGAATTTATTGCAGAGAGTTATACCTATTTACAAGATTATAAAAATTCCTTTAAATGGCATTTAAAATCATCTGAAAATGAAAGTGAACATTCATCATTTACAATTTCATATTTATATTGTAGTGGAATTGTTACATGTCCTAATATGGAAGAGTCTATTAAACATTTGATTAAATCACCTAATTACTCAGTCACCATACTTCAATTTTTAAATTATTTTAAATTATTAAATCATTTAGAAAATTTAGATGAAATTTTACAAATTATTAATAATGTAAATTTGAATAATGATGAAATTTCATATGACAATGATGAAGAATATGAAAACAATTTAAAATTTGATTTAAATGAAAATTCAAATGAAAATGAAATTCTGGAAATGGTAAAATCGAATGGATGGTCATGTAATTCATGCAACAAATCATTTAATGGATTTTATTATTCAACAATGAATGGTTTTACATTTGATTTATGTATGGATTGTTATTCAATGGAAATTATAGAAAAATTTAAACATGAGTTAAATAATAGAATTTTATTTAAAACACATATTTTAACAAATTATATTCCACTTTTGGAATATTGTAAAAAATGTAATAATATTAATAATTTAAAACTTGATAATATTATTAATCAATTAAAAGAATGTAAATCAATTCATTAATAATAATTAAACTCAAATAAACAATTAATTTTCCATATTTAAAAGTTCAAGGACAGGGGACATTGCTTCAGTATAGGTTTGCAGTGATTTGCCAGTTAGAGCTTACACGAAATCAGGTTGATTGAACTCCATTCTTCTGACAAAGGAGATAACATTTGGAGTAAAAGTGGTTGGAGAAGAAGCTGATGAAGAAACACATCTTCTTGATTTTTGCTGGAAACATGAACATGATGATTCAATGAAACGAACGACAAAGCAATAAGGTTTATGATCATCAAGCAGAAAGCTTCAAGGTTGATGGAATGGTGATTGAGAAATTGATATCCCTTATTTCATATTTTCCTTCTCCTTATAGTACCAATCTTTCAAGATTCTTAATGACAGGCAAATTTTTTCTCTTCTTTTTCCTTCTTGATTTTGGTGATTTGTGCCTCCTTTTTACATTCATAAACACCTTGAACCTCAGGGAAATAAATTCGTCCTCGTATAGTCATCTTTCTTTCACAATATCTCCAAATTTTATAACGACATTCTCCTCATCACTTCCATCAAATTCAACGATGAACTCATTCTATTACAAAACAAGTAAGCTTCCAAGTTGCTTTCAGATTTTTCTTCAATGAGAAATTATAGTTGTTTGAAAATCACATCCAAAAATCCTTAACATTTCCTCAATTTCATAATAGGCAAACAACCAATCCAAACACTTTTCAATATTCCATTCTCATAGTTCTGTAGACAAAACTTTCTGATATTTGCAACAAATTTGAAAAACTCTTTGAATTGCTTGTGTGATGACTTAAAGCTAATAGCAAACGGATCAGAAAACAAATATTCTCATCAATGAGCATTTTGCAAAATTTATCACGAATTCTAAAGGTTCTTCCTAAAGGAAAGCTTCGATACATCACAATCAAATCTAATCAAATATTCTTTCATAATATTGGTCAACACTCGATGATAGTAAGTAAATTCTTCACCACCCACACGATTAGCAACTCGTTTCAGTATTCGCTCGAATGTAAACTTTCCCCCCAAGTACATAAAGTCATCGTAATAATCGTTTCCTTGATGTTTTGCCAGTAGGTTAAATACTTATTGTTCTTGTGCTTCGATTTCCCGCTTTTTTTAGTCAAGGTAAATTAAAAATTAAATAGAATTAAGGTGGCACTCTAATAAACCGGAATTTTTAAGGCAAAGTAAACTGTTAATGTTTGAGAAGATCCCAACGGAACATTACCACTCTGGAGATACCATTCGAAGAGATTATATCCTATCATCAGATGTATTTGTAAAGAAATGCAATCTCCTTCTTTATTGTAATAATAAACTCAATAATTTCTCAAAATAAGGATATTACAAAATTGAAAATATAGATTGAAAGAGATATAAAAGTAACCATAATTACCTCTTTTCTAAAAACAAAACCTAAAAGCCAATATAAATTAACAAGTTCTTTTCTGAATCCATCTTCCATCAATAAAACTTTCATCAAGTGAAAACTTGAAATTGCAGAAACGTTGGCAGACATGAACATTCTATCTGTCATCCATCCTAAAATTGGTGAGATTAATTTTTGCATTGAAAGATTTTGTGAATATTTTGCAAAATCAAATCTCATATCAGTACTGGAGCACAATAACCATGGAACGAGATAAGATTTACATAACCTTGATTGAAATTCTTGACAGAAAGATGGGTTGAACACTGACTTGTCCTTTTTCAATTCAATCTTAATCATTTCATCGAGTAGAACTATAGAATCTATTGCCATTGTAATACCTTGTCCATAAATTGGATTAAGAGAACCTGCAGCATCACCAACAGCAATGAAATCTCTCACTCCTTTCAAATTTTCATAGTGAACATATTCACTTCCATTCTTTTCATAGTATGGAACAATCTTCTTTGGGATATCTTTGAATTTTTCAAGCATAATTTTGGCATCTCTTTCCATAGTTGGATTTAATTTTGTAAATTCAATAATTTGTTCCTTAGCAGTTTCATATTGAACAGATTCAATCTTTTCATTATAAGTTGTTAATAAGATAAGGAAAGTGTTATCACTATATGGCATAAATAGAACACCTCTTCTATTTGGATAACACAATAAATGATAGATAATATAGTATGGATCATCTAATTTTCTATTTTCTTGAACATTGTCAATTCTATCCTCTCTACTGATTGCAACTTTTCCTTCACTATCATATGAACTGTCTTTTGGTTCCATAAAAATGGTTTGATATCCAATTTTACATTCAATTGATGATTTTGTGAGAATTTTCTTGTTTGGTGAAATTTCATTTTCAATGTTTTTCATTAAAGAGCTAGAACCAGCCCCTCCACAATTGACCAATAAATTACACTCAATAGTACGTGAAGAAGCAAATAAAACATGCTCAGCATCAGAAACCTTAGTTACAGTAATAGATTTAACACGAGTAACCTTTTCTCCGTTCTCTGAAATAGTTTCAACTTTAATACCACTAGACGAAACATGATATCCATCAAGAAATTCAACATTTTTCAATTCCCTTTTAACTTTTTCTCTCAAAATAGTTTCAATTTGACCTCTAGAAGCCATAAGCAAAGGATTCTTTCTCAAATTCAAATGATCTGAAGTTCCTAATCCATTCTTATAATTATATCTAACTTCAGAAGCAGGATACTTTCAATTCATCTAAAAATCCAGGTAATAATCTTTCCCAAACAAGCATTGAACGATAGGCAATAACATGAGCTTGTTCACCTTGTCTACTTTTGGCAATCGATTCGTCTGGAACAATTTTAGAACGATCAATAATTATTACCTTTCTATAATATTTACTCATGATAATGGCTGTTGTGAGACCAGAGAAGCTTCCACCAATGATGACAACTGTTTCACCTATTAATTTGTTATCTTGTTCCTTTAAAACACTGTCTATTTGTTCAATTGGTACCTGACAGTCAAGGTATGGCTTGTAGAACTTTTCTTTTATCAACCAAAGGATTGGTATGATCATTGTGATAAGACAAATAATCATCAGCAACATTTTGTTATTTTTTTTTTTCTTGTTGTTGAACAAAGTGAAGAGACCAATGAGATCAATGAGGATTACTTTTGAACATAATTAAGTTTAAATTTGGTAGGTCATGCAAATGTCATAGGTAAGTATGAAGTTCACTTTTGAATAGGGTATTACATCATGATTTAAAGTTGTTGTTGTAATGTAGTTTGTTTCTTCCTGTAATTGCATTAATAATACTCATTTGATCTTCCAGTAAATGCATTACTTGTGGAATTTCTAAAATGTCTTCATCTCAATAGAAAATGAAGTGTTCATCCTCTATTTTTTCCTCTCGTATTTAGTGATTCAATTGAGAATTTAAACCATTATCAAATTTGAATTTTGGTTTAAATTACACTTTATAGTTGGATCTTTGTTATTATCAAAGTAGATGTTTAAAATAAAGTTGACTATTTGATAATTATAATAATATTAATATTTCGGAACGACTTTCATTTTGTTAAATCCAAATTGTTGTGATTCCATAAATTATAAAACTGTTAGAAGACGATAATCCGTTCAAATGTTACTGTTGTTCATTTTGGCCATTTTTTATAATTGTGTTTCGATTGAAAATTACCTTTTAATGCATTCAATGTTTAATAAAACTATTTATTAAACAGTTAATATTTATTGTAAATTTACAGTAAGAATGATCGGAAAATTTTGACTTTGACTCTTGGATGATGGAAGGAACATGAAGCAAAATAACGGAAAGCCAAACCAAATATTGAATGAGGTCATATGGATACTATCCATGATTATCCATTGTATTAAAAAGATTCGACTGGTGAGTTCAAGTTAACATTTGAGGTGAATTAATGTACGAATTGTTGGCTCTCAAATCTCCTTTTCATTCAATAGAGATGGATTGTGTGGTGATCCCGTTGTTGTGTGTTTCAACAGCTATTAAAATGTTCAATAGACTACAGATGATTCTCAAACAACAATTTGGATGCTCTTCCATGTTGCATCTGTTGCTGCAATTCAAAGGCTTTTTCGTTTTGCCTTCAAATTGGTTGGGGCATAGTGATGGTGAATAACAATTTCTGTTTTTAAAAAAAAAGCGGGTTACAAAAAAATCTTGAGTTAAAAAATATGGCTAGAAAGAATAAGAACAAATCAAAGGCAACAAACAACAACCAAAAGGAAGAAGAAAATACTCAAGATGAAACAACTGTAGAGGAAACAACATCGGAGGAACAAACTGAAACAACTTCTACACAAGAAAATACTGTCGAAGAAGAAAATAAGGAAGTTACATCATCTGAGGAATCTAAGCCAACTAATGAAGAAACAAAGCCTGAAGTTGTTGAAGAACCAAAGACTGAAGAAACCACTCCAGTCGTCGTAGAGGAAACAGCCACTCCAGTCGTTGAATCTGCTCCAGAGGAAACAAAGACTGAAGTTGTCGAAGAACCAAAAGTTGAAGAAACAAAGACTGAAGAACCAACTCCAGTCGTCGAAGAACCAAAGGTTGAAGAACCAACACCTGTTGTTGAAGAAAAGATTGAAGAACCAACTCCAGTAGTTGTTGAAGAAACTGTTAAGGTTGAAGAAACACCAGTCGTAGTTGAAGAACCTGTTAAAGTTGAAGAAACCAAGATTGAGGAACCAACAACTGTAGTTGAAGAACCTAAGGTTGAGGAACCAGTTGCTGTTGTTGAAGAACAGAAGATCGAGGAACCAACACCTGTTGTTGAAGAAACTAAAATTGAGGAACCAAAAATTGAAGAACAAACTCCAGTTGTTGAAGAAAAGATTGAGGAACCAACTCCAGTTGTAGAAGAACCAGTTAAAGTTGAAGAACCAGTTAAGGTCGAAGAACCAACACCTGTTGTTGAAGAAAAGATTGAAGAACCAACACCAGTAGTTGTTGAAGAAACTAAAATTGAGGAACCAAAAATTGAAGAACAAACACCTATTGTTGAAACACCAAAAGTCGAAGAAACTAAGGTCGAAGAACAAAAAGTCGAAGAAACAATTGTGGAACCTAAGATTGAAGAACCTGTTGTTGCTGAAAAGATTGAAGAGCCAGTTAAAGTTGAAGAAGTCAAGGTCGAAGAACCAGTTAAAGTTGAAGAACCAGTTAAGGTTGAAGAATCAAAACCAGTAGTTGAAGATGTTAAGGTTGTTGAAGAATCAGTTAAGGTTGAAGAACCAAAGACTGAACCAACCCCTGTCGTTGAAACACCAAAGGTCGAAGAACAAAAAGTCGAAGAACCAAAGACTGAATCAGTTAAAGTCGAAGAACCAGCTAAGGTCGAAGAACAACCAAAGACTGAAGCAACAGTGACGGAAACAACACCAGAAGTTAAACCAGTTTTGAATGAGACTAAGGAATCTAAGGAATCTAAGGAAACATCGGAAAAGAAGAAGAAGTGTACGATCATGTAAATTTTGAATAATTATTTAAAAGCTTTTCACTTTTTTTTTCAAGTTGCTGAGCTAGTAACTAAAATTAATTTTATTTAGTAAATTTGACTGAGATGCCTTTGAAACACAATCGACATTTGAAAATAGTGGTGAAATTGAAATTGGAGGAATTCAACTTTTGAAGGGAATGAACATTCTGTTTTACATACATGTAATTCAATTAATATCAATCAAGATTTGAATAATACTGATTCTAGGAATATGAATAATCAAATAGCCTCATGAAGACATCTTGTTATTTAACTGACCGTGCAGATGAGACAAAGCCTATTAATAACTAAAATTGAAACTATTCCGACCAATGGAAACCTTAATCCAATCTAATGCTAGGAAATTATTATCAATGATTGAGGAATTCAAGAATAGTTGTATTTCTCCATTCAAAAACAAGAAAGCATTTGTCATTTACCAACTTGAATGTGAAACTGAATTGACAACTAAATTTAGAAAATAAAACATTTAAAAAAATGTCATCATCAACCAAGCAATTTGCTAACTGTTGTTGTTGTAAAAAACGAGGAAATAGATTTGTTCCGAATAATGTGACAATTACTAACAAAACAGGGACACGTTTGTGTGATAGTCATTATCAAAAACTAAGAAGATTTATTATTGGTAAAATAGTAGAGGAGGATTTCAAAGTTGAATATTCGGCAGCCAACGGATTTTCACAACCAATAGGCATGGGAAAATGTAAACATGTGGATACAAGATCATGTGCTAATTGTAAAAGTGGTAATACTGTTTGTAAAGGAGTTGCTGTAGAAAAAGTATGGAATTTATTAAATCATGATGGAAAAGTTTTTGATAATCATAATGAAGTTGGAATTGTATCATTCAATGATGATGGAGTTTTTGTTTTCAAATCATTGGAGTGCGAAAATATTAAATTAAATAGGAATGGAGTTTGCACTGATTGTCATCAACTATATGAGAAATTACGACATTTGAAATACAAAAAAACAAACAATTCAGATGAAAATTTACTTTTGTAAAAAGATAAAATTGAGACTTTAAGTTTCTCAATTAAAATCTACTCTAACAAGATGAGATGAAAAAATAGATTCTCATTAGAGGAGAGATTATCCATCACAAGCTTGTAAAATTGGTGATTTCAGCTATTCAAGATGAAAAACTACAAAGATCTGAACCACAAACTTCCAAAAAAAGTGGAAGAACAACATTTAAAGATGAAATGTTAATTGAATACTTCAAAGTTGGAAATGTTTAGGATTGTTATTGTGTATTCTTTGATGTAATTGGATTAAACTTTATTGCTATTTTAAGTGTAAAAAAATTGTTTGCAATAACAACAATAGCCCAACGAGGTTTTCACATCTCACATTTATCATTCAACAAATTTAACCTTAAGAAAACATTAAATTACCATGTGCAGGAGATGTGGAAATGCAAAAATAACAATATTAATATTGATAAAAGCTTAATGGACGCAATAATGGAAAAAACACTCTCCCCCACTGAAGATACTTTGAAAATTACTCCTGCTTCATGGAATTTACTGCTCACACAATGTGCTGCAAATAATCAATGCATATTTTACCGATACTTAAAAAGATGACTGCACTTGGACATGCACCTTTCGACAATGTTCTTTCTATGATTCTAACATCATCTACTAATACCTGAAGAATTATTGGAAATCATTAAATTTATTGAAAAACAAAGCTTGATCAAATTAAATGTTCTTCACTATGGAGCCTTATTTAGTAAGCTATCATCAGCAAACGGAAATATTAAGGAGATTCTTGATTTATATAAGGTTTGCGTAGATTGTCATGAAGCAACCAAGTATTTCTAAAGTGAGGAATAGAAAAATAGGAAATACGTGATCAAAAAGTGTTCCTCGTATTTCATGATGGAAAATGTTCATGTGGAGACTTTTGACAATAGTTTGGGATTCATATGCAGTTGCAATTAATTCAAATACACAAATTCATTGTTCAATAAGATATAGTATTTTTGAGTACAAAATCAAATCTCAATGTTTAGTGTAATAATGTTGAGGTTACAAGTTGGTTGCTTTCTTTTGTTATCTTTTCAAAAAGTGAAGTAAATTGCTCCTTACTTTTACTGCTAATTTCATTTACAAATAATTTTTACACAATTCTAGAGATGATGCCCATAAACGATCTTGTAATTCTTCATCAACAGCAAATTGATTATCCTTATCCAATTTACAATCAGCATAATAGTGTCCTCCTTGTAATTCACTGGTAGGAGCAATTGAAAGATAGATCGAAGTTTGACTTCCTTGCCATGCTGACTTGGTTCCATACCACCAGAATGGATAGGATACAAGGAAATAGAGAGGATTCAATTCTCTCCAAAGTCTTTGTTAGTTAAATAATTATTCAATAATTCCCAAACTTTGTAAACCATGTCGAAACTTAGCCAAACTTACCTAGTACGAACAACACCAGGATGCAAAGAATAAGCAGTTGCAGTAGTATTTGGATCAGATCTAAATTCTCTTTCCAATTTACGTGTAAATACCATGTTACTGAACTTTGAACGTCCATATAATCTTTCAGTTTTAACTTCCTTACATTCATTATTCAAAGTGTTTAAATCAAATGAACAAAATCCACTTAGAACAGATTTCTTAGATGAAGTAACAGGAGTGGCTTCATCCTTAGTGAGAGGACCCCACTGTTCACCAGCTCTTGATGAAACACTAATAACACGTCCATTACTCTTCTTAATTAAATCAATCAATAATTTAGTTAATAAGAAATGGCCTAAATGGTTTGTACCAAATTGAAGTTCAACATTTTGCTTTGTAACACCATGAGGTGTCATCATAATACCAGCATTATTCAATAAAACATCCAATCTGTCATATTTTTCAATAAAATCAACACAGAATGACTTGACACTTGCTAAATCAGCCAAATCTAATTTCATAACTTGTACAGATCCAGTCTTGGATGTTTTTTGTTGATTTAAAATTTCTTGTTGTACTTGTTCACCTGAACTTAAACTTCTACAAGCCAAAATAACAGTAGCTCCCTTGGAATAGAACAAATTAGCAGCTTCATAACCAATACCAGCCACTGATGGTCCAGTAACTATAATTACTTTACCACTCAAGTTGGTATGTGAAAGTAATTCGGAAGAGACAGATCCTCCATTAAAAAAATGTTTACCTAAAGCAAGTAATCCTAAACCTGCAACTCCACATGTCAATGTAACTGGATCCATTATTTTGTGAAAAGATTTGAAAAGATGATGAGAACGTGGTGATGTTGAATTTTTTTTATTAAATTTTATTTTCTTGTGTAGGTATTTTCCTACAAGTGCGACAATGAGATTTTTCCATCAAGGAATGATTACTTCAATTATAAAGGTTTACAATTAAGATTTCATATTATTGGTTGAAGACTGTGAAATTGAAAAAGATTGAAAACGGTATTGCAATTCAGCATGTTGAGGATAACCTTATTTAATTAGTAAGGTGCATAAAATATAACTAAACAAGAACACAAGACTTTATATCGACATATGCGTATATATTTGGAGTAGCATGCTATTACAGCTATAAATCATGAATTGTAATGTTGTAGAGCTCTCATTGTGTAGATCACTTTAATGCCAACTGTTAACAATCAATGTTTAAAGTGTTATTGCAAAAACTCTGCTCATCATAAGTTGTGCATTGCTTGTCGCATCTGAATTACAGCTTTTTAACAAACTACATATTTGAATCTGACAATCTTTTCACAGAGGGCGCTTAGATCTATCAAAGAGACCAATCATTCTCCATATTTACTTTTAATGAAGCAAACATGCGAAGGTAATTTTTATTCTATCCATTTTCTGATGGGTGGAGGTGAGGGCATGCATTAACTGAAACAGTTGGGGTGGAGATTTTCTATTTTCAAAAGGTAGTGGATGGAGTGTTGTTTCTAGCTTCCTCAAATAAAAACAATATCAAGAAGAACACTCTAATAACAAATTTTGTTTTGCCTTATATAACAATTATATTGTGTAAATAAAAATCGAGAATAACATGATGACAGAAGAACAATATGAAAAAACTAAGCTTAAAGTCAATGAAACGAAACCAAGAAGAGGTTTTTGGTGAAAATAAGGAAGATGAAGAGGTAGCCTTTATAAATCGGAAAATGATCAGTAGGCATAGTAGTAATTTACATCATCACCATCACAATCATCATCGAAGCAAGAAAGAGCCACCACATAAGATAAATACCACAACAAATACAACAGTAACAGAAATAGATGACAATGAGGAGGGAGTTTCTTCAATTGGTGAATCACCAAGAGGAAGAAATACTCTGCAGCACAATGAAATGTCCTCCTCACACTACTCTAAAACCATATTTCCAAAGAGTTTACTTGATTCCTATGTTAAGGCAAGGCAGGTTAAAAAACAACAGCGAGAAGCGATCATACGAGCACAAACACCAAATCATGAAGCTGTTCAAAGGGAGAAGAGGTATGAAAGATATAAAAAAGAGAAGAAAGCAGGAGGAAATTATATTGCATCTGGTGATTTTAAACCAACAGATGTTTTACCATTCGATGATTTGAAACGGATAGTGGTTAAAAATCAAGAAATATTCAAAGAAACCACAGAGAGGGTACTCACACCCCAACCAACCTTAACCAGTGTAAATTCCAATAGATCCCTACTCAGTGTAAAATCAGATTCATTTAGAAGAAGTAGAACACCATCTCCTTCACTACATTCATCACAATCTGTAAAATACTTTAGAGACCAACCTTCAAGGTCTGATTCACGAATGAGTTTGGCTGATGTTGCTACTGTTTTTGAAAATTATTTATCGAGGACTTCATCATTTAGTACAGTAAGCAGTTCAAGTTCGAATAGTAACAGCCCAACAGGTTTAAAGAAAGGTGCATCATTTTCGAGAAGAATTGTCAATCAATGACAATTCTAATAAAATTGAATTTAATTTTTCTACATCATTGCTAAATATTTGTATTGAGGTTGTATTATATAAGGATAAGGGTTGAACAAGAGTTGTTGCTTGTCTCTTTCAAGAATGGTCGTAGTTTATCCGTTGAGGGTTCTAAAACTTCATCGAATGGAGTTGGTTACTTTTTAAATTTCCCTCCAATTTTCAAACCCGTAACGGATGGAGATTTGTAAAATCAAAAAAAAATAAAGCTATTGAATGGAGGAAACACAACAAACACCTCAGCCAGAAGAAGAATCACGAACACAATCATCAAATATTGAGGAAGAAATTTCAACATCAGTCAATGAAGTTGTAAATTCTCAACCATCTGATGAGGCCTCAACAGCACTTCAACAAACTGAAGAACATCAAGATATTTCCAGTAAGGAACAACATGATGATGTTGATCACCAAGAAAACAACAATGAGAAGCCTCAAGAAAATGATACCTTAGTAGTTGAAGAAAATCCAGAAAATCATATGGAAGAAGAATACACCAGTGTTGGTCATTCTGTCAAAACAACCAATGATGAGAAGGAGGCTATTAGTGAAGAGATTTTAGAAACAACAAATAACGAGTTAATATCTATTTCCCAAGCCTTGAATTACACTGCCGAAGGATTACATGAAAGTCATGAATACATTAACACTCTTACAGAACAAATTGAGGCAAAGAATAATGAAATCCAGAAAGTAATGGAGGTATTAGAGGAACACAAATCAATTATTACTCAAAAGGATGACGAAATCTCAACAATTACTCAAGAATCCGAAAATACTAAAAAGTTATTGGGGCAGACAACATCTCAGATGAATACAATTTCCGAGAATTTGGCCAATGCTTTGGAGGAACTTTTAGAATCAGATCTCAAGTTGAAGGGGATTACTAAGGAACTAACAGTCTCAAAGGAAGAAATTGAAAATTTGTCCAAAAGCATTTCAGAGAAAGAATCATTGATCGAAGAGCTCAACAATAATCTTGGTTCAGCAAAGGCAGAATTGGAAGCATCTAAGGAAGATGTTTCTTTAAAGAGTGCTATTATTGAACAATTAACTAGTGAGATTAATGTTGGAAAGGAAGCAATTCAAAAATTAGAAGACAATGTCAATGAAAAGAGTCAAGAGGTTGATTCTTTAAGGTTGATTATTGAAGAAAAAGCTTCACTTAATGAACTATTGAAACAACAAGTCGATGAAACAAAACAATCTCTTGAAGAAACTTTGAATAATTTAACAAAAGCAAAGGAAGAAATAGAAAGCGTAGAAAATTCTCTTAAGGAAACAACTCAAAAGTTAGAAGAAACAAATACGCAACTCACATCATTGTCAAGCCAAGTTGAGCAAGACAAAGATGAGTTAAAACAGATTAGTGAAGAGCTTGAAACTGTGAAAGAAAACTGTAGTCAAAAATCAGCTGAACTGGAGAAGACCATTTCAGAACTGAAAGAAACATCTGACAATTTGGAGGATCAAAAGAAAGTGCTTGAAGAAAAAACTCAAGAATTAACTTCCACAACAGAAGAGCTCTCTAAAACGAAATCATTATTGGAAAGCACTACCACTGAATTCAACGAAAAATTAAAAATTGCTTCCGATAGTTTGCAAATAACTACCCAAGAACTCGAAGAAACCAAAGGAAAATTAGAACAAACCCAACAACAATTGGATAAAATGAGCTCTGAATTGGAAATTAAGACACAGGATCTTTCTCAGGCAATTGAAACTTTAGATCTCACAAATATCGAATTAAGTGAACTCAAAGAAACCATGTCAAATACTACCATTGAACTTGATAAAACGAAGGAGATTTTAAAGTCCACAAACGAAGAACTTTTGGCAACAAAAGAATCCCTTGAAACAACCAGTGAAGAATTGTCTACAACTAAAGACACGCTTGCAACAACAACCGAGGAGTTTTCTTTTACAATGGAACAATTAGATAATACTAAAAAAGAACTCTCTGAAACAACCACCAAATTAGAGGAAACATCTGCTGAATTGGTTTCTATTAAGGAGGATCTTTCCGACACAAGACAAAAGCTTGAATCTACTTGCGGTTTATTGTCTGAAACTCAAACCAAATTAGAAGAATCTAACAAAAATCTTGAAGATGCAAACTGTACAATCAAAACTACTGAAGATGAATTATCTAGTGTTAAGGGTGAACTTGAATCCACAGCAAAAAATCTGGTTGACACCAAGCAAGAGCTTTCAGAAACTATTTCTGACTTGCAACAGACAAAAGAGAGTTTGTCAGAAACTAAGGAAACACTTGCAAGCACTGAGGATAACCTGCACAAAATAGAGGACGAGTTATCTCAATCAAGAACAACTTTATCAGAGACATCAGAAGAACTTATTGAGACAAAAAATAGGTTGACTGCCACCTTGGATGAGCTTTCCACTACCAAAGAAGACCTTAGAAACACAGAAAAAGATCTTTCCCAAAGAACAAGCGATTTGGGAATGACTTCAATGGAATTAATAAGCACAAAGGAAGAGCTTACAGAAACAAAACAAACACTCTCTCAAACTTCTGAAAATTTAGAAACTACAAAAACAACATTGGAAGAAACATCTTCCGATCTTGAGAAAACAAAAGAAGAACTTGCAAAGAAAACTGAAAATCTGGAAGACACTACCAAAAATCTAGAGAGTACAAAAAGAACATTGGAGGAAACTTGCAAAGAACTTGAAGCAACAAACAACACACTTCTTAGTACTAGTGAAGAGCTAACTACAACAAAGACTGACCTCGAAAACACAAGGCAAACCCTAGTTGAGACATGCTCTAACTTGGAAAACACTAAAGCAAAACTTCAAGATACTGAAATTACACTCACCGAAACAATCAATGTTCTTAATTCAACAAAGCAAGAGTTAGATAGTACAAACGAAGAACTCTCAAATACCAAGAATTCTTTGAAAGCCACTGAGCTTGAATTGAGTGATACAAAGGAAAATCTTTCTAAAACTGGTGAAGAACTTGTTCAAACTAAATTAACTCTTTCCTCAACTTCTGATGAATTAAGCAACACGAAACAAGCTTTATCTGCAACTACGGAAGATCTCAACAGTACAAGAGACGTTCTGAAAAGTACTGAGAATGAGCTTTCTCAAAGAACAAGCGATTTGGGAATGACATCTATGGAATTAATAAGCACAAAGGAAGAGCTTACAGAGACAAAACAAACACTCTCTCAAACCCGCGATACATTAAGATCCACTCAACAGTATTTAGAAGATACTAACACTTCACTGAACTCTGCAAATGAAACCATACGAATTACAACAAAAGAACTTGAGAAAACTCAATCCGAACTCGATTTGACAAAGAAAAATCTTGACGTCACAACAACAGAATTACAAGACACAAAGGAGGCATTTACCACAACCAAGTCAGATTTAGAGTCAAAACTTTCAGAAACCACTAACCAATTGAATAATACAACTGCCACTCTGAACGAAACTCAAACAACTCTTACTCTAACTCAACAAACTCTTTCGTCAATCGAATCAGATTTAAATGGTACTAGAGAAACCCTAAACAAAACAAAGAATAATTTAGATGGCATGACTGACTCTTACGAATCAACTTTATCTGCTCTCAATCATACAAAACAAGTCTTACAAGAAACTGAAGAAAAGCTATCCGAAACTTGTAAAACTCTTGATGAACGAGTATATGAATTGAGTACTACTTCACAGATTCTTAAAAATACAAGAGACCTTCTTCAAAACACTGAAGAAAAGTTGAAGAGTAAAACTGAGGAATGGGAACTTTTGTTGGTGGTAAGATCTGAATTGGAGAAGGAACTTGAAGAAATGACCAACAAAAACACCAAAAATGAAGAAGAAATCAAAGAGTTACTCCACATCAAATCTGATCTCACTGCTGAACGAAATAAGTTGATTGAGAATCTCAACCAAACTACCTCTAATCTGAAGCAAACAGAACACACTCTTGAAGAAACAACTCAAAAACTTAACATCACTGAAAATGTTCTTCAAGAAACCTCTATCACCCTTAAAGCAACAACAGAGGATCTGAATTGTAAAAATGAAAGATTGGAGCAAGCAGAAAATTCTTTGGAGAGTTTGAGACAAAAATATGACACCTCTGTTAAAGAGTTGAAGGCAGCTCACATTACCATAGATCAAGCAAATGTTTTGGTATTGGAACAACAAGAATCCCTCGCAGAAAGGCAGAGAAGCATTGATAAACTTGAGAATACAGTTGTTGAGCTTAATAAGATCATTAGTGAAAGGGATGAAACCATAAAACAAAGAGATTCAACAATTAAGAGCCTTGAACAAGTCGTTGCAGAAAAAATAGGAATAATCAACGATAGAGATCAAGAAATAAGTGAAAGAATCGACAACCACAACCAATTGTTCGCCGAGAAAACTAATCTTGATAGTGAAATAGCAAACTTGAAGTCTGAATATCAAAAACTGGATGAAATTTGTAATTTTAAGAAAGAACAGCTTATCAAATCCCAAGTTATCATTACTAGTTGGATTGAAGAGAATAATGTCAAAGCCAAAACTATCGCACAACTTTACGAAATAGTCAATAAGAAGGATTCAGAGATTGAAAATCTTTTCACTTCGGGCAATAAGATCATGGAAGGACTTAGTCTAGAAATTAAACAACTTGAAATCAAATTACAAGAAGCAAACACTAATATACAATCATTAACTGATAAGGATAATGAAAATATGGATCAAATTCGTCAACTTTGGGAAAAGATTAAAGACAGAGACAATATAATCGAGGAGCAAACAAGAGAAAGCATTAGAGTTGAGGAAGAAAAGAGATCCTCAGATGGTAAATTCAGAAAAGAGATTGAAAGACTCACAATGGTTGAAATGGATCTTGAATATGCTGTAAAGGAACGTGAAGATTCTTTGTTTGATATCAAGAAAGAAAATGAAAATCTTACACAACAACACATTGCCATCGATTTAGAAAACAAACAACTCAAACAACAATTCCAAATCAAACAAAAGAAAATTGAAGAGCTTAACCTTAAATTGGTTATGGAACAAAAAAGAAATGAAAGAAATGAGAAGGCCAAGTCAAGCTTTGTTAGAAATATAAGAGATAGAACTCTTGGTGCAACAACAGATGTAGATCAAAAGAATTTGTTGGTCATTCAAGATCTTGGAAAGAAGTATGACGACCTCGCTCAAAAATATGAATTGCTTGTTACTGAAAGAAATGATTTAAAGAAATTGTGTAAATCTTTACAATATGCACTTGACAAGAAAGATGGTGAAGATGGCAAGAGAATTCAAACATTAGAAAGCAAGTTGCAACAAGAACAAACAGAAAAGAATATCTTCAGAAACGAAAAGAAGGAAATTGAAAAAAAGATGGAAACCATTTCAACAGAAAATAAGCAACTCAATTTGAACATGAATAGACTTCACAATACCACCACTCAAATGTTGAGAAAACAAGAAAAGATTACAACTTATTTGGACAACAATAACGAAGTAGTTTCTTCGTTTGCACTTTCACCAAGAGTTAAACCAACAACAAATATTCCATCAAATGTAGGAGCCAATTCTTTAGTTAGTCCAAGAAACTTAACTGGTGTCTCTAAACCATCAACACCAAGAATTGCTTCAACCAGATCAACCAAATAATAATAAAATTAAATACAAAAAAAATGGGCAAACGAAAGGATAGATCGGAAAAGAAGGAAAAATCAAAAAAGAAAAAGTATGAATATGAAGAGGATTCAAATGTATTACCTCTTGATACAATGTTTGCAACATTAATTAAAAATTATCCAAAAGATGTAAATAACTTCCGAGATTTATTACAAAATTTAGATGATGGATATTATGTTGATATTTCGGAATTAGAGGATCGTTCAGTTAAAAATATACTCACTGATATGTTTAAAGAACATTTTAATTTAAAACGTGATAAAGAAACTAGAGAATATAAGAAAAGATCATCACAAAAGGATGAATCATTGGTAAAGATATTCGAAGATTTTACAGAAAATTATAAGCCCGAAACAACTCAACCAAAATCTTTATTGGAAGCACATACACAAAAATTTAATAGTAGTCAACCAGAAGTGGAAAGGAGAAATTTAGAAAGCAGAGGATATATGACTTGGAATAGAGATCGTGATATGGAAAATCCTTGTTTAGCAGTAGATAAGAAAAGATTAATGGATACTGTTAATAATGCAGCAAAATTCTCTCAAAAGTTCAATTCTACGACAGAATACAAATTTATGTAGATTATTTCTTTTCACGTTTTTCCCTTTTGATTGTATCTGCTAACATATTTGCTATTTCAGATAATCTCTTATTTAACATTCCACTATTGGACGTTCCACCTAATATTGGAATAGAATAGGAAAATTGAACAGAGCTTTCTTTTGATTTTTTTAGTAATACATCCGAAGGAGCATTCAAAATTGGATCATAAAATAGTGGTGGAAGATTATCATCATCAACTGTTGTTGCTTTCTTTGATGTTTTAGGCTTTGATCCCTTTGTTTTTTTCCTATTATTAAATCTTTCTATANAAATCATCCAATCCTAAA